CTAAAACATGGAGCATTGAGAAGAGAATGGAAAAGAACGAGTTCAAACTTAAATGACCATCAACTTAATATAGACTGCTATTTGCATGAGATGTTATATACAAACCTAATGGTAGCCATATATCAAAACCCAACAAATATGCAAATAATAAAGACAAAGGAATCCAAATATATCACTAAAGAAAATCAGTAACCCAGAAAGACAAAGAATCAAAGAAAATCTTCAGAAACAACCACAAAACAAGTAATAAAATGACATAAATACATATCTATTAATAGTTACTTTGAATGTAAGTAGACTAAATCAAAGATATAGGTGTCAGAATGGCTACAAGACCCATGATACTATATGCTGCCTACAAGAGACCCATTTTAGACCTAGATATCTGCACTTTGAGTAGATGAAGAAATATTTATCATTCAATTGTATGTCAAAAGAAAGAGTAGCAAGACTTATATCAGACAAAATAGACTTTAAAACAAAGACTAGCAAGAGACAATGGAGGACACTGTAATAAAGAGAATCCAACAAGAAGATGCAACAATTTTAAATATTTATGCAGCAATCATGGTAGCACCCAAATACATAAAATAATTAGTAACAAACATATAGGAACTAATCAATAATGGTACAATAATAGTAGAGAACTTAACACCCCTCTGACATCAATGGATAGATCGTCTAAGCAGAAAATCCACAGGCAAACAAGTTCTCTGAAAATCCCACAGCTTAATAGAGAATAATGGGGAGCTTTTTCTCTATGGTCAGGAAGAAGACAAGGATGTCCATCAACTCTTGCCACTTTTATTCAGCATAGTAGTGGAAGTGTGTTATCCATAGCAATCAGAGGACAAAAAGAAATACGAGGCGTCCAAATTGTCAAAGAAGTTTTGCTTCCATCTGTTTGCAGATGACATGATACTATATATAGAAAACCTGAAAGATTCTACTAAAAAAAATTCTGGAACTGAGATGAATTCAGTAAGGTCACAGGATACAAAATCAATGTACAGAAATCTATTGCATTTCTACATACCAATAACTAATGAGGCAGTGGAAAAAGCAATTAAGAAAAAATCTCTAGAAACATCAAATGTTGGTGAGGATGTGTAGAAAATGGAACCCTGGTGCACTCATTGGTGGTGGAAATGCAAACTGGTGCAGCCATTGTGGAAGACAGTATGGCAGTTCCTCAGAATATTTAAAATAGAATTACTCTATGATCCAGGAATCACACTACTGGGTATTTTACACAAATAACACAAAAACACAAATTCAAAGGGATATATGAATCTCTCTTTTTATTGCAGCATTATTTATATTAGCCAAACTATGAAAGCACTCCAAATGTTCACTGATAGATTAATGGATAAAGAAGATGTTACATATATAATGCAATATTAGCCATAAAAAGGAACAGACTCTTTCCATTTGCAACATTGTGGATGGAGTTAGAGATTATAATGCTAAGCAAAATAAGCCAGTCAGAAAAAGACAGTTACAATTTCTCTCATGTGTGGAATTAAAGGAACAAAACAAATAGGGGCACCTGGGTGGCTCAGTCAGTTAAGCGTTTGCTTTTGGCTCAGTTGATGATCCAGGACCCTTGGATCTGCCCCATGTTGGGCTTTTTACCGAGTGGGGAGCCTGTTTGTCCCTCTCCCTCTAACTCTCTCCTTTGCTTGTGTTCTCTCTCTCTCTTTCTCAAATAAGTAAATCTTTAAAAAAAAGAAAACAAAAGAAAAAAGAGAGACAAACCAAGAAACAGACTTTAGAGAATAAAGAGATCATTACCAGAGGGAAGGTGGGTGGGAAGATGTGTGAAATAGTTAAAGGGGATTAAGAGAATACTTATCTTGATTAGCACTGAGTAATATATGGTACTGTTAAATCACCATTTTGTACACCTGAACCTCATATAACACTGTACGTTAACTATATTGGAGTTAAAATGTAAAGAAATGAAAAGAAAAAAAAGCAATAGGTTTCCTTTTTATCCAAAACAACCATTTAGAAACCATAATACAAATGATTGTATTTATTTGTTTGTTTTTAACTTATTTAAGTTTAATTAGTTAACATATAGTGTAGCATTAGTTTTTTTTTAAAAGATTTTGTTTATTTATTCATAGAGACACAGGAAGAGAGAGAGAGAGAGACAGAGAGAGAGACAGAGAGACACTGACAGAGGGAGAAGCAGGCTCCATGCAGGAAGCCGACGTGGGACTCAATCCTGGGCCTCCAGGATCACACCCCAGGCTGCAGGTGGCGCTAAACTGCTGCGCCACCGGGGCTGCCCAAGTGTAGCATTAGTTTTAGTTGTAGAGTTCAGTTATTCATCTGTTGCATATAACACCCAGTGTTCATTACATGAAATGCCCTCTTTAATGCCCATTGCCAAGTTACCTCATCCGCCAACCAGCAACTGTTTTTTTTTCCCCATAGTTAAGAGTCTCTTATAGTTTGTCTCTGATTACATCTTATTTTGCCCCACCCTTCCCCTATGATCCTCTGTGCTGTTTCTTATATTCTATATATGAGTGAAACTATATAATTGTCTTTCTCTGATTTCACTTAGCATAATACCCTCCAATTCTAACCACGTCATTGTAAATCGTAAGATTTCATCCTTTTTGTTGGCTGAGTAACATTCCATTTTGTGTGTGTGTGTGTGTGTGTGTGTGTGTGTGTGTGTATCTCACATCTTCTTTATCCATCTGTCAATGGATATCTTGGCTAGTTCCATTATTTGGCTATTGTGGACATTGCTGTAATACACATTGGGGTACAAGTGCCCCTTCAGAATACAACGTTTGTATTCTTTGGGTAAATATCTAGTAGTGCAATTGTTGAATCATAGGGTAGCCCTGTAATTTAGGAACCTCCATACTCTTTTCCAGAGTGGCAGTACCAGCTTGCATTCCCACCAAACAGTGTAAGAGGGTGCCCTTCTCTCTACACCTTCACCAACATTTGTTGTTTCCAGACATGTTAATTTCAGGCATTCTGACAGGTATAAAGTGGTATTTCATTGTGGTTTTGGCTTGTATTTCCCTGATGCTGAGTGATGTTGAACATTTTTTCATGTGTAGAGATGATTCTATTTATAATACTGGAGTACCATATTTGACAAAATATAGTTATTTTATGAAGAAAAGCATACTTTACTGAGGGATATAGATGAACAGTGAAGAAATAGAAATTTATATTTTTGGTTTTGAAAGTTCAGTATCATAAACATTTCAAATTTCTATTTTTTCCATATGATACACAGATTCAAGGCAATTTCTAGATATAAATGGAATTATTTTTTAGCTTAACAGAAGTATTACAGGTTATATTGAGATAAGAAAATGGTGACTATACAAAAGGATTTGGTCATTCAAAAATTAACATGTAATATAACACTATAATAACACAGTAAAACAATGTGGTTCTGGATTTGGTACTGAATGAAAAATCCAGAGACAGATTCAAGTGAATGTAATAATTTAGTATTTTATAAATTTGGTTATTGAAATTTTTTTATAGAAAGACAAAATGGTCACAAAAAGTAAACTATTATGAAAAAGTATTTCTTAAGTAATAGCTTATGACATACACTAAGATAAGTTGCAGTTTGATATAAGATCCAAAATTAGTAAGTGAAGGTTTTAGAAGAAACACTGGGTAACAGTTATATGGTCTTGGCTAGAGCAAGGTTTTCTAAATATATTGCAAAGGAATATTGCAATATATTTAAAGTATATTAATATATTAAATATACTAAAATATATTGCAATATATTTATAAATTTTGTACTGTACAAAAATCATGAGATATAAAGATGAATGAAAATTCTTTACAAAATGTTTTATATGAAGATCTTTTACAAATCTATAAGAAAATAGATACAAATAGGCTTTCCCCAAATAGATACAAACAGGCAGGTCATAGCTTAAAAACACACAAGGGCAATAAATGCATATGAATATATTCAGCTTCACTAGTTATCAAATGAATGCAATTAAAAATAACAGTGCAATAGACTTTTTGTTACCTACCATTTCAGTAAAAATCTTAGGATAGAGATGTCTAATATTTGTGGATAAATGCTGAAATGAGTAATCTTTTACCTGATACTATTACAATGAATTAATACTGTTCTCAAAGAAAATGTATAGCAAAAGTTTTGGGATAATATAGGCTTTTCATTGAATCATTGAACTTACAAAAATTGTCAAGAAAAGAGTTTACAGTGATTTTGTACAAGAATGTATAATATAAAAAATTAAATAGCAAGAAATTTTACATTACCAATATATAGCCCTAATAAGAAATTTGCTAAATAAAAGTATACTATTAAATGTATTTTACTAGCAATTCTGATTTAGGTGTACATTTATTGTCATTGAAACATAAGACATTATTTAATAAAAAGAACATATCATGTATGTGTAGTAGGATCCCATATAGATGAAAATTTTAAAAATACATGCATGCACTGGTTTTATTTAGAAATAATGAAAAAGCATATATATCAAATGTTAACAGTGAGTTTTCTGTTTGTGGTAAGATTATTTGTGAACTTTATTTTTGTTGATCTAAGTAAAAAGTTATTAAAACTGGCATTTAAAAAATTATATTCCAGACTAAATAAATTATTTTTCACATTTTATTATTTGATATTATAGATATTAATTAGCCTGGTTATATTCTATCACCTTTTCTAATTATGCCTTTTATTAACTTTTAGTGTGCCTCTATAATAATTGGAGCTTTAAAAAAATAATAGAGTAACTTCATGAGATATTAAAATAGCCCTCAAAGTGGAAGATATTTCTTCAGTTTTTAATTATAGATTAGTTAAACTATGGATTGTACTTACTATATAATAAGTCACTAAAAATAAAGTTGAGAGATAATGTGGTCATGAGTATATTTTTATTCCTGAAAGTTGTAATATTGATAAAAAAATGTCACACATAATGCTTGATAAACTGTTACTTTTCTAAAAACAGGAAGCTGAAAGAGCTAAGCAGCAACTTAACTGTTTCCTAAATCAAGGGAAAGAATTACTTAAAAGTGAAGGGAAGACCAAGACAACAATGGAAATGGGTATTAGTAAAATAAAAGTCGAAGATTTAAAACATATACCATTGGAGAAAGAAACAAGGAAATCACTAGGTACAAATTCAGGTAGACAAAAGACAAATTTTAAAATCCAAGAACATCCACAGGTAAGGAAATTACCAAAATAGAAAAAACAGTAGAAGATAGAAAAACAGTAATATGTGCTATAAGAGTTTATTTCTTATATTGTTTATTTGTATATATTATTAAAAATATGCTCTATTTTTTTTGCTTGGACTTTTTGCCTTTTACTTTTGGTAATAGCAATTCATTGTCTTGAATACAAATTTATAAATTAGATATATATTGGTTTTGAATGATGATTTAAACTCCTGATATTTGAGAGCCAGAAAAAAAAATAGTTCATAGACTAAAGATATTTTGCTTTAAACAAAATTAAATATAAATGAAAAACTATGGGAAAACATTTTAAAATTTTTCTTTTTACTGAAATACAGTTGACATGCAACGTTGTATTAGTTCACATGTAAAACATAATGATTTGTTAAGTATGTATGTAATGTTTTGCTCACTGCAAGAGTAGCTATTTCCTGTTGGGGGAAAATTCTTTAAAAATCATTGATTTTTGTTTCTGTTGTGCAGAGGATTCAGAAGTTTTCTGTGAACATTCAGAATTATTAATCTATGGAAGAAAAAATTAGTCTATACATAAGCAACTTTATTGACAAGTAATGGAAAGAATTCAAGAAGTAAAGCAAAACTGTTGAGAACATACTTTAGCTTGTCCTTGTTCTAGCAGGATAGCTTTATCACTCATTTCTTAAATAGTATTTTATATTCTTTTTAGTATTTTATATTCTTGGGTGTCCTTCCATCTTGTTTGCAAGAGAGTTTATGTGTGTTAGTGACAGCACAGTAAAACTGGCAAATGAGAGATGAATAAGGTAAAAGTAAAGGCCAATATTTTGGCTTTTTAAAAGAGACTGTCATCTTGCAGTACTTTTATTCTTAATTTAATCTTTTTGTATATATATATATATATATATATATTTTAAAGTTTTTATTTAAATTCTAGTAAGTTAACATATAGTGTAATGTTAATTTCAAGTGTACAATGTAGTGATTTAACCCATACATATAATAGTGGTGCTCATTGTAACAAGTACATCCTTAATCCCCAACACTTAACCCATTGTATATAATTTTAATTGTAAATTACATCAGTTTCTTCTTGGAAAGATAAAAAATGGAAAAAATTGCTCTTAGTGAAAGAGAAATTATTAAGGTTATTAGGATTTTTTGTTTGTTTTTTGCCCTGAATTGAATATAAAACCTTTTTTTTTTTTTTTTAAAGATGCAGGTTTTTGTGAACTGGTTTAAGACAAAGATAAAATGTGGTAGTACAATTGAAAATGTACTAGTCAGGAGGGAAGGCAAGATGGCAGAAGAGTTGGGGACCTAAGTTCATCTGGTCCTTTGAATTTAGCTAGATAACTATTGAATCATTCTGAACACCTATGAATTCAACATAAGATGTAAGGAAAGAATTACTGGAACTCTACAAATAGAAAAGCAACCACTTTTTGCAAGGTAGAAGGTGTAGAGAAGTGAGTCTGAGGGGATATTCAGAAGATAAACGGTGGGAGGAGAAAGCCTCCATAAGCAGGCTACTGGAAAGTGAAATAGCCCCTGAGCACAAAATTGGAACCTTTAGAAATCTGCTTCAGTGACAGACATCCCTGCCTGAAAGGTGCTCAGGTGGTGAAGCAGGGCAGAATCTTAGGTGGGACAGTGTGGTCTCAGGATCCCTGGGATCACAGAAAGAACAGGGTGCCTGAGGCAGCAGCATTAGCAAGCATTGGAGTGGGGAAATCCTTACCCTATGGTCACTGCATGACCTTGAGAAAACCCCTTACTTTTCTGAGCCTGTTTCTTCACTTATAAAATGGGATGTTAGGGATGCTTTGAGGCATGCATGCAATAATTACAAATTTTTCATACCTACTTCCAGGTTCTTAATTCTTTCCACCATCCAGTCCCCAAATTGCCTCAATCTGAAATCCTAGTTGGGTATTCTACTGTCTTCATTCATAGGCTGACACCTTGACCATGGCGCATCACCATAAGCCCTGCCTCCCAGCCCTTGACTCCTCTAGAGAGCTCTCCTTCCGTAAGGTCTAAGGTCGGCAAGCCAAGGAGGGGGCTCTCAGCTCGGTTAGCCATAAACCCCAAACCACAGCATGACTGGGCAACTGCTCTCCATGCAGGGGCACCGCAAAGAGCAGAAATGGTCGACCCTTTGCCTTCCCCAGGTGGGGTAGCACAGGTGTCCATATGATTGGGCACTGGGCAACTGCTCTCTGTGTGGGGTTCCTGCAAATGGCAGGAATGCAGTGACCCTCTGTCTTCCCCAGGGAGGAATTTGCAGGTATATACCACAGGAGTCTGCAGAATTTGGCATATATCAAAGTGAAGACTGCTTATCCCTGAGGGTTTACTAAAGAGAGGGGGCTGTGATTTGTCAGCTCTGGGGCTCCATATCTGGGTTTGGCTATTTTTATTCTCATCCTATAAAGATATGTGGAAATACTCCAGAGAACAAAAGCCACATGGAGCAACCAGAAACAGCTTACACTGAGCCCTGCCCCTTGGCAAGAGGCGGTGCAACTCTGCCCAGGCAAAGACACCGGAGTAACAGCACAGCACGCCCCTCCCTCAGAAGACCAGCTAGAATAGCAGGCAAAAACCAAGTTTATGGAACACAGAGGACTGCAAAACTCCAGCGCTTGGGGAAAATGATATCTAGAATTTAAGTTTTTTTTTTTCTCATGATTTATCTTTCAGCTTAAACTTTTCCATTTCTTTTTCTTTTTCCCTTTTAAACTAGTTTATTATTTAATCAACGCTTTTTTAAGTCTTGAACTTTCATCTTTACATCTATATTTTAGAGCTTATTCTTCATTTTTGGCTTCCTTTCACTGTATTCAATTTTTATTTTTGTATATATATTACTATTGTTTTCTTTACAATTTTTGGACTTCGTGTCTTCTAACAAACAGGTCAAAATACACCCAGGACCAAGTGGATCACTCTTTTGTCCACCTGGGAGATTCTATTCTCTCTAGGAAGAAGAGAAAAGGCCAGAAGGTATATATGAGAAATAGCAGCTGAGAACTTCCATAATCTGGGGATGGAAACAGACATTCAAGTCCAAGAGGTGGAGAGAACCCCTCCTCAAAATCAATAAAAATAGATCAATACCCCAACATATAATAGTGACAGTGCTTGAAAGTTTCAGAGACAAAGAGAAAATCCTGAAACCAGCTCAAGACAAGAGCTAGTTAACCTATAGGGGAAGAAACATTAGGCTGGCAGCAGAACTATCTACAGAGACCTGGCAGGCCAGAAAAGGCTGGCATCATATATTCAGGATACTAAATGTGAAAAGCATGCAGCCAAGAATACTTTATCTGTCATTCAGAATGGAAGGAGAGATAAAGAACTTCCAGGACAAACATAAACTAAAGAATTTGTGATCACTAAACCAACCATGCAAGAAATATTACAGGCGAACCTTTAAGAGAGAGACCAAAAGTAACATAGACTAGAAAGAAACAGACAATATGCAGAAACAGGGATTTTACAGGTAATACAATGGTAGTATATTCATATCTTTCCATAGTTACTCTGAATGTAAATGGGCTAAAGGCTCTAGTCAAACGATACAGGGTGTAAGATTGGATAAAAGAGCAAAACCCATCCATATGCTATCTACACGAGATTCATTATAGACCTAAAGACATCTCCAGATTGAAAGTGAGAAGTGGAGAACCATGTACCATGATAATAGACATCAAAAGAAAGCTGGGGTAGTTATCTGATAGGAGTATCAAATAAGTTAGATTTTAAAACAAAGACTATAGTAAGGGATGAAGAGGACATTATAGCATACTTAAAGGGTCTCTCCAACAAGAAGATTTATACTTGTTACTATAAATATTTATGCTCCTAACTTGGGAGAAGCCAATTATATAAACCAATTAATAACCAAATTAAATAAACACATTCATAATACAATAATAGTAGCGGACTTCAACAACCCACTTAGAGCAATGGACAGATCACCTAAGCAGAAGATCAACAAAGAAATGAGGGCTTTGAATGACACACTGGACCAGATGTAGTTCATGATATACACAGGTCATTCCATCCTAAAGCAACAGAATACACATTCTTCTTGAGTGCACATGGAACATTCTCCAGAACAGATCATGTACTGGGTCACAAATTGAGTGTCAATCAGTACCAAAAGGTTTGGACTATTCCCTGCATATTTTCAGACCAGAATGCTTTGAAACTTGAACTTCACAAGGGAATATTTGGAAGGAATTTAAATACATAGAGGTTAAAGTGCATCCTACTAAGGAATGCATAGGTCAACCGGAAATTAATGAAGAATTAAAAAAATTCATGGAAACAAATGAAAATGTAAACACAACTGTTCAAAACCTTTGGGATACAGCAAAGGCGGTCCTAAGAAGGAAGTATTTAGCAATACAAGCCTTCCTCAAGAAACAAGAGAGTTCTCAAATACACAAGCTACTTTACATCTAGAGGAGCTGTAGAAACAATAGCAAATAAAGCCTAAACCAAGTAGGAGAGGAGAAATAATAAGGATTAGAGCATAACTCAATGAAATAGAAATCAGAAGAACAGTTTAACAGATCAAGGAAACTAGAAGCTGGTTCTTTGAAAGACTTTATAAGATTGATAACTCCCTAATCATACTTATCAAAAAGAAAAGAGAAAGGACTCAAATTAATAAAATCATGAATGAAAGAGATCATGACCAACATCAAGGAAATACAATTTTAAGAACATATTATGAGCAACTGTATGCCAAAAGATTAGACAATCTTGAAGAAATGGGTGCATTCCTGGAAACTTATAAAATACCAAAACTGAAACAGGAATAAATAGAAAACCTGAACAGACCCATAATCAGCAAGGAAATTGAAGCAGTCATCACAATATTCCAGGAAACAAGAGTCCGGGGGCAGATGGCTTCCCAGGGGAATTCCACCAAACATTTAAGGAAGAAATAATACCTGTTATTATTATATGTAAAGAAAACTGTTTCAAATAA